AAGGTTTTCATAGTTAAACTATTTATAAAACCTGAATCTCTTGGCTCTTGTGCAGTCCAGATCATAACACTGAGCACACTTTCCTTTTCCTGTGGCGCTTGGCTTTTTTCATGGCATTCAGTGCAATGGTTGTTGCTTCTTTAAAAACATTTTCTATGTTTTCACGGCATTTTGCTGAGCATTCCAGATAAACCTCTGCGTTAATCTCCTGACAAGCTGCCTCTCCCTGGAAAGAAAAAAAAAAAAAAAAAAAAAAGGTAAGAAAAGATGTAAACCTGGTGGGTGAGAGAAGGAAGGTGGGATGGGAAGAAATGGGAATTATTTTACACATCTTTGTGTCTCAGGGTCAGGAGGAAAGAAGCTGCCTCTGAGTGCAGTGCCAGAGTGAGTGGTATTAGTAATATACTGAAGCACTGTAAATAAACGTGGGGTTTTTCCACTGTGCTGATCCAGAGCTTGGGCTAAGAGTTCAGAGCACTGGAGACTCTTAAGATGCAGAGTCCTGATAGCACAAAAATATTCTCAGTATTGAATTTCTTTAAACTAATTGCTGAGGTAGATACTTCAGTGAGGATAAGATGTCTACATGGCGATATTTTTTCAGGCCTGACCTTAACTACTCTGTGATGTCACCTTGAGTAATGAATGTCACATGCAAGAACAGAGTCTGGACTGATGCCTTGCCTTGTTTTGCTGGTGAACATGCAGGAACCCTGACTTTTGCTCTGAAGCATCACAAGGGCTCAGCCAAAATCCTCATGTACACAAATGGGAGCCTGTTGTTTCCCAGCCTCACCCAAATGCATGCAATGGGAACAGACTCCAATCTAAAACATTTCCATGCAATCCTGGCTGTGTGAAATCACTACAGACAAAACACAGCGATTTCTTACTTTGCTTGTGATCCTTTTATTGTCAGTGCAGAGCCAGCCCTCAGGTTTGAATGCTTGTGAGCCTTTCACTGTGAATTCCAGGTCTGCAACCCACGACTCACAGACTGCATTTATTCATTATAAGCCCTGGGAGTGGAGTCACTTGAGCACTTGGGCTTCTATAGGGGGAATTGTCTTCATATTTAAGCAGTTTGTCTCCTTCCAGTTGTTTGCAAGCTGCAGTGCTGACAGAGGCTGTTCAGCTCCTCTGTGCCTGGCATTGGAAGCATCATGTCGTGTGACTCAAGATGCCACCAGCTGTAAAAGACTGAGGTAGTGCATATTTCAGGGGAGAAGAACCAAGTGGGAGGGCTCACAGTGGAGACAAAGTCTGTACATCATGTGGGCCCTTGAATTTAACTGCGTGAAGCCTCAGCAGACTCGCCAGAAGTGTCTGTTGTTTGCCCCGAGCCTCACGTGCGAGGGTGATGGAGGGAGTTACTCGGGCAAATGAGGGACAATGTGCAGCTGTTCACAGTGACAGGGTGGGATCTCATCTTGTGTGCGAGGGAGACAGAACCAAAAGGCCCAGCATGGTTTTGTGGTGATGCAGCAGCGGTTTATTTTCATGCTGTTTAGCAAAAGTGGTGATTCATCCAAGGTCGGAGTGCACTTGACCTTGTTCCCTGGACATGTGTCTCAAACAGTCCAAAAGCTGCTGCTCTGAGGTGAAAGGAGAAGGGTGGCTTTGTAGTTTAAAAAAAAAAAAAAAAAAAAACACCAAAAAAATGAAAAAGTGGAAGACCAGAGCAGAAAGGTCTTGTGTGACACGGGACAAGCTGTTCCATCACTTTTTCCTGTACCTAGGACAGCTATACTGGTGATGTAACATCAGTTATTAGTCTCACTGCTTCAAAATACTTAAAAACACTTGATAATATGCTGGTTTTTTAATATTACTTTAGAGACTTCAAAGAAACCTCTCGTGTTAGAGAAGCCTTGCAGATGTTCTTGCTATTCTCCTTGCAAGGATTTATTTTGAAATAGGGTTTGCAAACCACATTTATTCCAGAACAGTCAGTATATTTAATCTTGTAATGTGTATTCTACCATCTCCAGTTTTTATCCCAACCCTGATCAAAGCACCAGTGATGGCTGCAATGTAGGCTAATAAAAATTATGAAGAGAGTCCAGCAAACTTGTTAGGGCTTACAAATTTGTAAGAGTAATAACTCAGCTGTGAAAGGAAGTAAGAAGGACACGTAACAGGAATAAAATATGTAGACAGTAGTGTCCTTTCAGACACCCCACAATATGCAAAATGCTCTTATTTCTCTTCACTTTGGCAAAGCAAAAATGGTGATTTGGCCACTTCCAAGAAGGACCTACAGAACCCCCTGTTGGTGCTGGCTGTCAATGGCTCCTTTAGCTGGGCGCTGTGATCCCCTAATTTTGGAGTGTCTGGGATCGTCCTGGTGAGGAGCAGTGCCACTGCTGTGTGCTTTACCTCCTGCTAAGGGGCCACCCCTTTAAATCCCCCTGCGTTTACCTGGCTGTAAGTGATGGGTTCCTGCTTGGAAGCCCTGAGCTTGCGCAGCTGCTCCTTGTCCTTCCGCAGGTCCGTCTTGCAGCCGATGAGCACGAGCGGGACCCCCCGGCAGAAGTGATTCACTTCGGGGTACCACTGGGGGTAGAGAAACAAAACTTTTACGTCTGGCTTTTGGGTTTGTTTCCTGAAATCAAAACAGTAAAGCCAAAGAGCAGAGCCAGCATTTAACATAAGCCGCAATTTCAGGGTTTCGGAGTGGTTTATCTGGTAGGGGCCCAACATGCACTATTTACATTACAGAAATGTTTACAAGTCCTACCCAAAGTCAGCTGCTGTATAAAAACACAGTGGCATCTGTCACTGGGCCAAAACCCCTATTTAACATCTGTTTAAATTCAGACAAGATCCTCTAAAGTCATATTTAAACCAGAATTTGGACCAAGTCTTGCTTTGTTTTGCTGGTACTGTGTACAAGAGCTTTGAAGCATTACAGAAATCCCGGTAGGGACAGCTGGTTGGTCTCGTCTCTCTCCTGTGTTAAATATGCATGTGATGGAAGTAGACTTGACTCTAAAATGCTGGCGTGCAATGTTGGTTGTGTGACATCACTACAGATAAAGCAGTGATTTCACCACTGCTGTTTGATCTTTTTAGTGTGTGTCAACCCCAGCTCCGAGCACTTCTGAGCCGTGGAGAGCTGAGCTCCAGGTCTAAGGTCTGTGACCTGCAGCTCAGCACACCATGAGTGATCTGTGCATCCACACACCCAGGGTACAGGACACTAAAAGCATCAGCATTTTTAATCTGACATCTTGTCATATATCAGGCGTCTGTAATTCATTTAGAAGGCTGAAGCAATTAGGAGAGGCTCTTACCTTGGCTGCTACATTGTCATAGCTAGTGGGGTTCATGACATCGTAACAAATTAACACGACGTTTGTGTTCTGGTAAGAAAGAGGTCGCAGCCGATCGTAGTCCTCCTGCCCTGAGACACAGAGAATGGTTTGGATAAAAGAAATCTCTGTCCTGAATGAGCAGTATGATGGGAATATGCACAGACACATACCTGAGGCCGAGAACAATGGCACTATAATTGCACTGACTGCAACTTTTTCATACTTTTAAAATTCCTTCCCTTAAGCGTAGGACAAAGCTGATGGTTTACAATATGAAACACATATCAGTAATACTAAACCTTGGCAGGTTTTGATAAAAAGCCTGCTTTATCCACTGCTAAGGACTTAGAAGCAGTTCTAAACACCGATTGCCAAGCTGCTGCTCAAAAGCAAAGTCATCAAGAGGAATCTGACAGTTATGGATTAAAACATTTGCAGTGCGGCAGTGGCTGCATTCTCCCAAATACATTTTGCACATGTGATGCTGTGAGGAGGGGAAACGCTGTGTTTGCTAGACACAGATGCTGGAGTAGAAAAAAGTGGCAAACCTGCTTTTCCCAGCCTGGTGGGATGAGAGGAAGCAGAGATTACACATGGTGCCTTCAGCTGCAGCAGCACGCGCAGGGTTGCACAAGCCGTGCTTGTACGAGCCGTGCTGCAG